CTTACAGGAAAGCTATCTTTGTCGATTTATCTGGAATGTCTCCTTTGGCATTTCGATGTAGAATAGATATAGCTTCTACATTCAATCTTTTGCGGAGCGAGATATGTAACTTTATGTTTAACTCGGAGCCATGGAAAGCTATCTTCGCGCTCCGATTTATCTGGAATGTCTCCTTTGGCATTTCGATGTAGAATGGATATAGCATTCAAACGCTATTTTTTGCGGGGCGAGATATGTAAGCCACTGACTGACTGACTGACTGACTGACTGATTGACTGACTGACTGACTGACTGACTGACTGACAGCAGTGAACCCGGGGGGGCTCGGCCCCCCGAATGGCGCTTCGCGCCCGGGGCCTCGCCCAAAAATATTATAAAAATAATATTGTCATATTTTATTAGGAATAATTATGTATGAACGGTTAAAGCAATTATGAACCGGTTATGTGGCTGAGCGGGAGCCAATACCCACCAGGACTTGCTTGCTTGCATGTCTCCTCTCATCCCGCCATGCACTTCCGCGCCCCTCACCTCTGCTCTTCTTACTCACTATTTTATCTTTTTCTCAGGCGAGCAAGGCGGTGGTGGACATCGCCTCACCCGACCTCTCTTCCCCCGATGGAGCCGCACAGTGGGAGGCCACCGTGGCTGCTCTCATCCTCTCGACCGCCAGCCTAGTAAAGTACCTCATAGATGCCTACCCGGAAAACATGCCCCACTGGGACCCCATAGACTGAGCATGTTTGCACGGTGAAAGCCATGGAAACACGGATACAAGTGCCGTGGGCTCAGTATTTTGTGTCAAGCACTGTTGACTGCACCACGGATGCAGGGTGCATGTTTCCTCTTGGGGAGCAGTCCGCCAGCAAATGCTGAGCGGAAGAGGTGTGCCTGAGTTTGTCCTTGTTCAGTTGCTTGTTCAGTTGCTTGCCTGGCTGCGCACTCGGCTCGGTTTGGCATGGCTTGGTGCAGATCAGTTGGCGTGGTGTGGCGTGGCGTGGCTTGTCCTGGTTGCAGTGACACAGCGTGCCCAACCCCGCCGAATGCCATGTTTGTTGATGTTGTTACAGGGTGGTTAAGCTTCACCAGTGGCCTCCTTCCGGGAGGCAATTCCCTGCTCTCCCGT